GGCTACAGAAATTATAGTGGCAGAAGTGACATATTGGGAATGCAACGAGGTTCACTAAATGAGCTTATTGCATACGTTTTTAGTTCCAGTGTGATGTGCCATGCTAAAAATAAACTAGAAGACAAAATAAATAAATATTATATACCCCGTTACGATCATATCAAGACGTGAATTATTTGTATATAAGACCGATCACGTTTATGCCGCATCTTAATTACTTATGTATCTGTTTCAGTATGGTATTTCGCACCAAGAAGGGTCCTACGCGGAAGGATACACTTCATGCCGTTTTACCAGAACGAAAGCTGTAACACAACTCGATGTTAACATGTTTGGTTTCTACCAATCTTGGTATATAATTCTTCCCTATGGAAACGTTGATCCGAATACAGGTAATGATTGTCATGGCGTACTCAATCTATCACGTTATATATACTGTTGTTTGTAAATATAATTAACAAAAGTTCAAAACAGCAAATAACTGATCAAATCTTAATCAAGTTTAGTTGATTTCCGTTCACTGCGAGATCTCGCGTTATGCGATAGGCGCGGATCAAAGGGAAATATGAGATACTCTTTACTTTATCAAAATTGACCATTATCAAATGTATTAGCGGAAAATATTCTATTTAATATCACTAGACCCGAAATATTGGAAAAAGTGATAACTACTGACTCCATCTAAAATGGGTTTGACAATTTCACAAGTTCCACACGAGAACAGTAAAAAATGACATTCATTTACGTCGAAAACGTATGTATCCCATCGTTCACATCTGTTTTCGAGGTAATGTTACTTCGGGTTTACAGTCACACGACAGTTTGTGAATAGCTACCTCTAGAGAGAACACACTGAGCTGTTCTGAATAAACGTTAAACTGCAGAGGGCGCATTAATAATATAATACATTTTCCTTTCACCAGGTAAGATGCTGAAACATGACATAATGCCAGTGGTGACGTCGGAAAGAATGCTACTATCGTCAACAGAACACAGAATATGTCCTGCCGAGTTTGCACACGACGCGCAGCATTCTTATCTTCTTGGAGGGGGCGCTGCTTATACGGCTGTATCAGGTGAGAGACTGTCTGAATGTTACTGGAGGCGAACTTTCATTTCGCTGGGGGAAGCTGGTATAAAGTACTCGAGTAGATCTTGCTGGTTCTTTTCTTGCTGGTTAATATAGAAATGTTTATATTCGTGTGCCCGGAATAATTTTCTCTTCATTTTCAGTTACTCTGTGCGCTGATACTGGCAACCACGACAAAAATATCAGACCAACATGTGTCATCCAGCTAGGAAGTTTCTCAGACCAACTTTTGTACAATATAATTGGAGTGGATTGAAAGCCTTGAAAGCTTTTTGTAAATTATGCATTTTCGCCTCATTCCTCATTGGTTATTTTTAGAGGCTAAGCGTACCCATGCTGGATAAAAGCACTTCAAATTAATCAAACCAAGTTAGTTACCGGAACACCCACCACCTCCTACTGGACGTTTTTTTCAATAATAGTAACCAGCTTTTAAACTGTAATCGAGACTAAAAGTAAATTGTAATCCTTGTAACCCTGATAAGCACCGGTTAAAACTAGTTATATACGGAAAAAACGTAGTTGCATATAAAATTATTTCAGCCAAGCCTGGCCACTTTAACAACGAGTAATTACCCCTAATTCTGTTTTGTGTTATAGAACTATAGTGTGAGAAATTATTAGCCAACTAAAAAACAGGAAGAAATACAAAATCGTCGATTTGTTGAAAGACTTTAACATAAATTATTCTAAACTATTTCCTGTAAAATGTACCCATGTACATCATGTATACATGATACTATTTTCGCAGCCTATTTAACTATGCATAATGTTATAATGACCTTGTACTAACTATTTCATTACATCCAAATGCAGCTAAACGAGGTCGCGTAATTTGCGCCCTCTGTGGTGCTCCAAACCCAAAGTAGATCTGGTGCCGTTCGGTCGGCGAGGGCCTCCCCACGCCTACATGGCAGGCTAATCCGTATATTGACTAAAAAATACATTAATACTAGTATATTGCAATTTTATTGAATTATGATATTTCAAATACCAAAGTTAATTTTCCTTTTCTATTTTCTTACTTTTTTTCAGATACAGCCTTAACGTTTCTGGGTGTCAGTATGTGTCTCAATATGGTAGTACATTTCTACGCCGTATAAATACTTTATATTGCCATGATGATAGAACACATTTTTTTTTTTGAAATACGATGAATTCTGAATAGTTATGAAGAACGTCGCTCAATGTGACCCCTGGTTGACCTCCGTGTATTTATATAAACTTTGTCCCCGCCATAAGGATACTCTCTCTATATACATTTACCAGATCTTTCCTCGCAATTCGAAACGATTTGACTTCAGAAAAACAATAAACTTTTAACAGAATCTGCACTCACGCAAAATGGAGTATTGGATAAACTGGAATGGAACGATTCGTCCGTCTGTAAACTTCGGCAGAACCCAGATTTTTGAAAGATTCCATCAACGATAGAGATACATACGTGATATATTTATTAGCTCCATGGGCAAGGTCAACAACAACAACATTTATGTGAATGATATAAAAAATGAAATTGAGCAGTCCAATAATGACCCCCCCCTCTCTAACAGTCAGTCAGCTATCCTGTATGTTATATGCAGATGACCTGCTTTTGCTGTCTGTTTCTGAATCCGGACTGCAAAACGCTTTAAACTCATTAGGAACCTACTGCAAAAAGTGGAAATTAGAAATTAATACTACAAAATCCAAAATCATGATATTTAATAAAATGGGTAAACACATCAAAAAACACAAATTTTGCATTGACAAACAAGAACTAGAAAATGTCCCTACATACTCATACCTAGGCATCAAACTGAGTGCTTCAGTAAATTTTGTAAAGCACAGGAAGATCTCGCAAACAGAGCTATGAAGCATGTTTCAAGTTAAAGCAACAATTATTTTCCGAAACAAACAT